GGCGCGCTGGCGCGTCCAGCTTGCTCGGGGGTCCGTCAGGCAAGGGCACCACTGGGCACAAGGGGCCTGCCCTGCGTTGCCGCCACTGCCGTAGGGCACATGATCCGTCGAGCTTCGAGTGCCCTCTGGCGCCCCAGAACTTCCCTAGGCTCCCAAGGCCATCGGGGAGAAGACATCTCGGTGGGTCACCTGCTTGCCGGCCGATCTCTTTTTTGATGTGCCTGTTGTAGCCCGAGCCAGCCGCTGTGTGGCCTGCCAAGCCACTACGGGCCCTGGTTGTCGCAAGGTCTGGTTGTCGCAATTCGCCCCCAGATACCGCTGCCTAGCGCTACTCGCCCTATAGAGGGAAATAGGAAGCCGCTGGTTCGCACCTGGGCGATTGCACATGGCATCGCTGGTGAGTCTACACCATCGCCACGAATCCTTACCTGCTGGCGCTCCCCGCTGTTCCACTCCGCAATGGCGCTCGGATCCCCCTGCGAGAAAGAAAGAGAGAGAGAGAGAGAAAGAGATAGTTAGAGAGAAGGAGAGAGAGAGAGAGAGAGAGAAAGCTTGCCCGTACCCCGCCCTAGTAGCGCTGTGTGTCGAAATCGTCGGCTGTCTGACCTAGTCCACACCAGCCCACGCCAGGCCCACGCCAGAAACAAATAGGCCTAACGTCGCCTGGGGTTCACGTGCTGGCATCGCTGCCAAATTTCTGTAATTCCTCTCCCCCTGCATCCACCAATGCGATATCAATGCCAACCTATCCGGGTGCATTGCAAGAGCCCGTAAGAAACAAGCCGGCCACCGGAACACCACCGAAACATCTCAACCTACCCCGCGACCCCGCACAATCCAGCCAGCCCCTGAAGACGAAACTCGCACTCGGAAAGCAAATCATACACCATAACAGGTAAGCAAGCGGGCATCACCACGCGTTTCACTGCTCATGAGTCTTCGAATGCTCCCACTGTTCCTGATATTCGAACTGGCAGGCAGGCCCCAGACATTCGAAGCATGAAGAAACATGAGGAAAGAGGAAACCATTGGGAGCAAGCGGAGGCAAGTGACTAGAGAGCAGAGCCTGGTGTCCGCGCAAGCAAGCACCGAGGACCTGGGACACTCGGACGCACGGCCACCGAGGAGAGCTGGCGGCGAGGCGCCCCAGGGGTGACAAACCCGAGCCAGAGATAATCGGGGAAATGGCCAGCGGAGGAGATTGGCAGTGGCGCAGAAGCGAAACTGGGCCGTAGGCAGCTGGGGGCACCTGCTGAGAAGGTTGGCCGCGGCGCAAGGGCAGGGCCGATCCTGGGACGGCCGCGGGCAGTGGCCGACGGCGGGAAAGCACGACCCAGCCGAAAACATTCGGGGGCATGGCCAGCGAACCACACCGGCGGCGGCGCAGACGGTCAAACAGAGACGGAGACGGCACAGATAACAACCAGCAGCCCCTCCAGTGCAGGCAATAAGGGAGAATCGCGACGAATAGCCCGCGACCGCGCATCTGGCACGTGGTGGGGTGCCGTCAGGTCTTCCATGGTCCTCACTAGCCACGTGTTAGATAATATCGCCAGCGCCAAGACCGCCAGACGATTGATTCCTTCGATTTCATGTAGGACCCTGTGCGAGTGAGGAACTCAAGTCTTGAAGCCCAATGTGTAGCACTCCTTCTTGAGAAACCTCATGTGTCCAGTTCCATGTGTGCGCGTGCGGGAACCTATGTGTGTATCCCATGCGCGTGCAACCTTGAGTGCGCACAATCCCGTCTCTTACTTCCCAGTTTCATGCCACTGCGAACAGAACCCACCAGGCTCTTAAGTCAAAACGGATACCTCAATGTGTGCGGGTGTGTGCAACCCGGTGCGTGTGTGTGTGCATGCGCGCGTGTGTGTGCGTGTGTGCGTGTGTGTGTGTGTGTGTGTGCGTGTGTGTGTGCCTAGTTGTGTGACTGCGTGCGTGTGTGTTTGTGTATGTGTGTACGCGTGTGTGTGTCGTGAGTGTAAGTGTGTATGTGTGCGTGTGTGCTCGTGTGTGGGTTTGTGTTTATGGTTATGTTTGTGTTTGTGCTGATGCTTGTTTTTGTATGTTAGTGTTTGTGTTTGTGTCTGTGTTTGTGTGTGGTTGTGTGTTGTGGTTGTGCTTGTCTTTGCGCTCGGGATTGTGATCGCGATTGTGTTTATGTTTGTGCTGATGTTTGTCTTTGTGCTTGTGCGTATGGTTCTACTATTGCTTGTCTTTGTGGTTGTGTTTGTGTCTGTGTGTGTTTGTGGCTGTGTTTGTGGTTGCGCTTGCGCTTGCGTTTGTGTTTGTGTTTGTGATTGTGTTTGTGTTTGTGTTGTGTTTGTGCTTGTGTGTGTGTTCGTGTTCGTGTGTGCTTGTGTGTGTTTGTGTTTGTGTAGGTTTGTGGTTGCGTTTGTGTTTGTGTTTGTGCTTCTGGTTGCGCTTGTGTGCGTGAATGTGTGTGCTTGTTTGTGCGTGCGTGTGTGGTTGTGTGTTTGTGGTGCGGTTGTGTGTGTATGTGAGTGTGAGTGCGTGTGTGTGTGTGTGTGTGCGACTGTGTGCGCATGTGAGTGTGAATGTGTGTGTGCGCGCGCGTGCGTGCAAGTGTGCAAACGTGCGTGCGTGCGTGCGTGCGTGCGTGCGCGCGCACGCGCGGGCGGGCGGGCCGGCGGGCGGGCGGGCGGGCGGGCGTGCGTGCGCGCGTGCGTGCGTGCGTGCGTGCGTGCGTGTGTGTGTGGGTGCGTGTGTGCGTGCGTGTGTGCGTGCGTGCGTGCGTGCATGCGTGCGCGCGTGCGTGCGTGAGTGTGTGGGAGTGGGTGGGTGGGTGGGTGGGTGGGTGGTTGGGTGGGTGGGTCGGTGGGTGAGTGTGTGGGTGGGTGGGTGGGGGGGGGGTTGGTGTGTGTGTGCGGTGGGTGTGTGGGTGTGTGGGTGTGTGTGGGTGTGCGTGTGCGTGTGCGTGTGCGCGTGTGCGTGTGCGTGTGCGTGTGCGTGTGCGTGTGCGTGTGCGTGTGCGTGCGTGTGCGTGTGCGCGTGCGCGTGCGCGTGCGCGTGCGCGTGCGCGTGCGCGTGCGCGTGCGCGTGCGCGTGCGCGTGCGCGTGCGCGTGCGCGTGCGCGTGCGCGTGCGCGTGCGCGTGCGCGTGCGCGTGCGCGTGCGCGTGCGCGTATGCGCATGCGCATGCGTATGCGTATGTGTATGCGTATGCGTATGCGTATGCGCATGCGCATGCGTATGCGTATGTGTATGCGTATGCGTATGCGTATGCGTATGTGTATGCGTGTGCGTATGCGTATGCGTATGCGTATGCGCGTGCGCGTGCGCGTGCGCGTGCGCGTGCGCGTGCGCGTGCGCGTGCGCGTGCGCGTGCGCGTGCGCGTGCGCGTGCGGGTGCGCGTGCGCGTGCGCGTGCGCGTGCGCGTGCGCCTGCGCGTGCGCGTGCGCGTGTGCGTGTGCGTGTGCGTGTGCGTGTGCGTGTGCGTGTGCGTGTGCGTGTGCGCGATGCCTTCTATGCAGCGCGATGTGCGCGCTGTCTACGCGGCGTTTTCAACGCGGCGCGCGGTGCGCAACTGCTGTTTAAAGCAGTGCGTCGCCGCTTGCATATCTCACGCTGTCTTCTTCGGAGCGCGGTCTGCGCTGCCTTGTCTGCACAGCGCCTTCCACGCAGCTTCGTCTACGCAGCGCGTTCGGCAAGGTGTTTTCTACGCAGCGCTTCTACGCAGATCCTTAAACGTAGCGCGTGTAGACACGAAATGCTCGACTACATGTTGTCCACGCTGCTTCTGCTACGCAATGATTTATGCATTGCGTTTCCTCCGCAGCGCGTGCTCACCTGCATGTGGTTGTCTGTGCCTGCTACGCTCTGTTTTCTACGCTGCGTCTTCTACGCGGCGTCTTCCACGCAAAGCTTTCTACGCAGCGTTTTCTGCGCGATGTGTTCTGCGCGGTGTCTGAGGCAGCGTTTCTATTTAGAGTTTTACACGCAATGCATTGCACGTAACGTGTTCGACTGTGTGCGTGTGATACGCACTGTTTCCAACGCGACATGTACTAGGCAATGTTCTCGACGCAATATCTTCTACACTGCGTTTTCTAAGCTGTGCCTTCTACGCAACCTCATCGACGGAATGATTTTCTACGCTGCGTTTTCACTGGTTTACGCGGTGCCCTCACCTTCCGACTAATTTATACGCAATGCATTCAACGACATGTAATCATTTATTACACGTGGTGCTTTCTACGCGACGTTTTCTATTCCGCGTTCTCTACGCTGTGTTTTCTACGCAACACTTTCTACGAAGCGTATTCCGCGCTGTGTGTTGTACGCGGTGTTATCTACGTTGTTTTCTTCAACGCGAAACTTCTCACGCGGCGTCCACACCTGCATTCGTTTATGCACAGCGTAGAACACACTGCCTAGAACACACCGCGTAAAACACACCGCGTAAACACACACACACACACACCGCGTATAACACACCGCGTAGAAGGCACCGCGCAGAACACACCGCGCAGAAACTACGACGCTGAAAACACAGCGTAGAAAACACGACGTAGCAAACACCGCGTAAAAAATAGAAAAAAAAAAAAAAAAAAAAAAAAAAAAAAAAAAAAAAAAAAAAAAAAAAAAAAACAGCACAAAAAAACGCGTAGAAAAGCACTGCGCAGAAAATACTGCATAGGAACACTTATCATATTCAGTGTTACGTTTAAGTTTTATGTGTCGTTTTGAAGGGTTCGCCTGAGCCTCGCAACGCCCGCCAGCCCTAGACCGAGAGATCTTCTTGGGCACTGCCACGGGCCTTTGGGGGCCAGCCGCGCGGCCCTCCCGAGGTCAGGGGGCACGATCGGGAGCCCGGGGCCTCCAGCTTGAGCCCAGATGGCCCGAGCTCGAGTAGGCAGTCGGCTACCTCATTGAATTTTGCCAAGGTTCATTGCTCAAGGGAAACTGCGAGAAAAGCTAGAATGCTCCGTAAACACACATATACACGGATCATGCTACGCATGTTTCGCAGATTCGGCGCCAAAGAACTGTGTGGCGAATCAACTCTGCCCTCGATCCCCTACTCCACCAGTAGATGAAGAACAGCCTGCGCAAACCTGAACTGTCGGAGGTCCTTGGGGATCTCTTGGACCAGTCTGGACACCCCTCCGTGGCGCGCGGAGCGCGGCAAAGGCGACGCCAAAGGCGCCGCTACGGGGGCCCGGTGCCGACCCGAGAAACCCGCGCGAGCTCTGAAAATTGATGCTTCTGTCGTGCTTCGCTCCTCGACCCAGGGGGTCGCCCTGAGGCCGCTCTGGGAGGCCATGTGGCCGTACTGGGGTGCTCTTATGTCGGGCGTGTCCCCCTACAGGGGGATTTTCGACGAAGAATAAAAAAAATAAGGAACAAAACAAAAAAAACAAAAAGGTCTGAAAGCACTTCAAAAAATAGTCCCCAGACTATGTTTGGATTATTTGTTTATTATTTTGGGGGTATCTTTTGTTTTTCGTCGAAGACCCCCGCGTAGGGGGACAGGCCAGACTTAACCGTGCTGGGGCGCTCCCAAGCAGCTCCTGGGCAGGGCCTCGCGAGCTCGCCTCACAGCATGCCGTAGGCATGGAAAATCCGCCTCGCGGCACGCCGCAAGCGTCCGCGGGCGAGTAAACTTAAGTCGGGCCTGTCCCCCTACAGGAGGATTTTCGACGAAACATTTAAAACTACCCCAAAAGTACCCCATCAAGATCCAAACATGTTCGAAAAATAATCCCCAGGCTATGTTTGGACTATTGTGGGGCTAGTTTTGGTGTATTTTTCGTCGAAAATCCCCCTGTAGGGGGACAGGCCCGACTTAAGAGTAAACGTGGGGTTCCCAGGGGCGCCACGCACGCTGACACTCGCTCGCGGGGCGCTCGTCCTAAGCGGCGCCATAGGGGTCGGCCGAAGAGGCCAAAATCGAGCCCCTCCCCTCCCCCGAAACTTCCAAGAACCCTCCCCCCCAAGAGGCTATCCAGAGGCCACCAAGGGGCCCAAATGGGGGCCCCCAAAAAAGCCCCCAACAGAATCCCGTAGCAGGCCCGCATGCTCGCCCCCAAGAGGCCCCCGACAGGCGCGAAGAGACGCACAGCCAAGAAGAGCCCTTTGCAGAGGCCCTCCAGGAACATGGCCGAAGACACATCATGGCCTTCGAGTCACTCCCGCCGGGCCTCGACACACAACCCAGGCTCGAAGGCGGAATGGGCCGAAGGCCGCCAGATAATTCTGCTGCGGCTACCAGCAGTACTACTACTGCTACCGTTTCTACTGCTGCTGCTGCTGCTGCTGCCGCTGATGGTGAGATCCGATTACCACTCTGCCCCTACAGCCGCCTAGACTACCATTACCACCACCACCACCACCACCACCACCACTACACTGACAACTGCTGGAACCTCTGGTGCCAGTGGTCGTTCTACTACAGCGGCTGTTACTGCCACTACCACAGGCATTGCAACTGGTGGCACCTTGTTCACAAGAACTAACATGATGCTCCAGTGCCTTCTCCTTAGAGTGCTTGCTCCTACGGAGCATGTTTTGTAAGGGCCTAGTCTGCGGTGTTGCAGTCGGCCGTTCCTGGTCGGTGTCCGCTGGCCAGCGCCCTATGAGTTAGTGCCCGATGGTTGGTCCGCTGGTTTGCATCCAGTGGGTGCCGCATGGCTGGTGCCCTGTGGAAGGTGCCTTGTGGTACTCTATGGTTGATGCCCTGTGGCTGGTGCCTGTGATGCCCTGCAGTAGGAGCTCGACCACGAGGAACCTTCCACAAGAAACCCAGCCCTGAGACCCCGGGACGTCCGTAGATGCTTGGTGTGGGAGCGTCACGCCTTCCATCAAAAAAAACATCGAAACCCAAGAAGCCCAGGGCACCCTGGAGGCAAGCAGGGTATGTCGTAGCACGGGCTAGAACCGAGTGCTTGGGGAACGCTGGCGTTATGCGGATACCGCCACTGCTGCCAGATGTATTAACTCCTATCAAGCCCTCCGCCGTCCGTGCCCCCCTCCCCTGTCGGAAGCGCCTCCCGCCCACCCCGGCGGAGTCCTCGGCGAAGCTGTGGTTGGCGTTGGAGGCTGCCGTGGTCGCCCTCGTACTATCACTGGCCGTCGTGGGGCTGCTGCGGGGCGCGCGGCAGGAGGCAACCAGAGGGTGCACGACTAGAGCGAGGGGGAGAAGGAGGAAGGCGCGGCAGCCCGGCCGGGCAAAGATACAGAAACGAAGAGAGCGAACCCGAGTCTTCGGCGGTCCGCGCGGAAGTCGTGGGTCGACGCCGGGCCCCCTTCCCCCGGCGCGCCTGGCGCGACGGGGACGGCTCCGGGGGGCGCTGCCAGACGGAGTGGGGGCGGGGCGAGCGCCAAGCCCAAGACCAAGAACTCTGCGCAGACCCCCTGCGTGTTCACACATTCGTTGCCCAGGGCAGACGGCGATCGGAGCCACACGCGAGCGACCCCGGGCAGGGTGCGCGGCTGGGGGGGGGCCAAACCCAGGCGCGCAAGCCGCGGCTGCCGCGTTGTCCGGCGATCGCGAGGAGCCCTCCGCGGACCCGCACCCAGAGGTCCCTCCGGCGAAGGGCTGCTGCATTCCCCCGTGAGGCTGCCCCCCATCCTGCGTGGCGCTGCCCCTTGGGGGTAGGGGCAGGCGGCAGCGGCGGCTGTCCACTTTAGCGCAAAGCGCTGTCGCGCAAATCGCCACCGTTTTGGCTGGAGCGCGTGCGCGCTGCCGCGCGGCCCGCGCGGGGCTAGCGACTCGTTTTGGGCGGCGTCCGCGGCCCGCAGAGCCAGGCCGAGGGCCGCGACGCCGTGGGGGATCTGAACCTGGAGCAGAGGGGTCACGGAGGCGTTCCGCCGCCTCCTCTGGCCCCGCAGGGCCCCGCGGGCCGTCGAAGAACGGCTCGGGAGGAGAGGGGGAGGCCCCCGACCCCTGACCCACGCGATCGGCGCCGGGTGCGACTGTGCGGTGGGGAGGCGTCGGCCAGCGTGGAGCAGTGGCCCTGCGAGAGGTCGCGCGTGCGTTCCTCGACTCTTGCGCCCAGTCCTCTCGCGGGGGGGGGGCGCGCGAGCCCTCCCCCCCCCCAGAAAAAAGAACCTCCTCTCCTCGGCTCGGGACTGGCAGGGGGGACGGCGGGGGACGGGTTGGGTTAGAATCCTCCGCCTCCTGCCCCTCCCCTCCTCAGGATTCCCTGCCCTTGCTCCCCCTCTTGCTCGCAATCCCCTAACTCCTCGTCCTTTTCATCTTCCTCCTCCTCCGAAGGCCCCAATGGGAAAGTTCGCATGGCACCGCCGCCCCATTTGGGCACAGCCCTCACACGCTTCGTGGCCCCATAGGGTGCTACACCAAAGGTCCAAGTGGGCAAGTTCGCACGGCACCGCCGCCCCATTTCGGCACACCCCTCACACGCTTCGTGGCCCCATAGGGAGCTACACCGAAGGCCCCAGTGGGAAAGTTCGCATGGCACCGCCGCCCCATTTGGGCACAGCCCTCACACGCTTCGTGTCCCCACAGGGGGCTACACCGAAGGCCCCAGTGGGAAAGTTCGCATGGCACCGCCGCCCCATTCTGGCACACCCCTCGCAAGCTTCGTGGCCCCACACGGAGCTCCGCCCAAGGCCCCAGTGGGCAAGTTCGCATGGCACCGCCGCCCCATTTCTGGCACAGCCCTCACACGCTTCGTGTCCCCACAGGGGGCTACACCGAAGGCCCCAGTTGGCAAGTTCGCATGGCACCACCGCCCCATTCCGGCACAGCCCTCACACGTTGCGTGGCCCCGTAGGGACCTCCACCGAAGGCCCCAGTGGGCAAGTTCGCATGGCACCGCCGCCCCATATTGGCACACCCCTCACACGCTTCGTGGCCCCATAGGGAGCTACACCGAAGGCCCCAGTGGGAAAGTTCGCATGGCACCGCCGCCCCATTTGGGCACAGCCCTCACACGCTTCGTGGCCCCATAGGGAGCTACACCAAAGGTCCAAGTGGGAAAGTTCGCACGGCACCGCCGCCCCATATTGGCACACCCCTCACACGCTTCGTGGCCCCATAGGGAGCTACACCGAAGGCCACAATGGGAAAGTTCGCATGGCACCGCCGCCCCATTTCGGCACGCCCCTCGCACGCTTCATGGCCTCATAGGGAGCTACACCGAAGGCACTAGTGGGCAAGTTCGCATGGCACCGCCGCCCCATTTTGGCATACCCCTCATACTCTTCGTGGCCCCATAGGGAGCTCCACCGAAGGCCCCAGTGGGAAAGTTCGCATGGCACCGCCGCCACATTCTGGCAAATTCCTCACAAGTTTCGTGGCCCCGCACGGACCTCCGCCGAAGGCCCCTGTGGGAAAGTTCGCATGGCACCGCCGCCCCATTCCGGCACAGCCCTCACACGTTGCGTGGCCCCGTAGGGAGCTCCACCGAAGGCCCCAGTTGGCAAGTTCGCATGGCACCGCCGCCCCATTCCGGCACAGCCCTCACACGTTGCGCGGTCCATAGGGAGCTCCACGGAAGGCACCAATGGCATTTTGGCAGGCGTCCTCCCGACTCATGTCGGCACACCCTTCACACGGTTCGTGGCAGAAGGCTATACCGCGCGCGCGCTACTCGGAGTTTGCGCGCCCCCCTTCTTCGTCACATCTCCCTCGCGGCACTCGCGGCTGCATCTGGTTGGGTCACTCGTCAGGCTATTGTAACAAGAGTTTCAAGAGTTCTCATAGTTAACAAATCAGAGATTGGATTTTGGAGTGGCTGAGGATTGCCAAGGCGCAACAACTCCACTGCTTCGCGGCGTCGAGGTCCTGGGGATGGTGCCCTGGTACGACTCTGTGTCCGTAGGGCGGGCCGGGCGTCTCGGCTGAGACCTTCTGCCCGCTGATGACCCCGAACCGGGTGATGCCCAACGGTGGCACCGATAAAACATGGCCAGGTCTCTCTCCTCAAATCGCATTAAGCTTTCTTTTTCCGAGCGAGTTTTCTTAACTCCCTGAAACAGTCACACACAGTCGGGCACATGGGAGTTTTTTGTTTATTTTCCCGGGCGCGGATTTTCCGAGGAAGGTCGCGCACAGTCAAGCACACGTGGGTATTCCAATGTTTTGTTAATGCTTTTGGCGCTGGTTGTCGGGGAAAAGACCCGGCCATGATAAAACGGAGGTCATGTTCAAAAAGCACCTTCGCCGCAATGTGTTTCGCCTATGCTGCTGCAGAGCGTACAGCAGTAACGTGGATGGCAAGGCGGCGGCTTTCAGCATGTAACTCTCGCCAGCGCCGCGCCCATTCCTCGTGAAAGCTTGTTGCTAGTACACCGTTGGGGCATGGTCGTTTTCAAACTCTGGCTCTCGCCCCCGTAGCGCCGCACACATGTGCCCTAACACATGGCAACAATTAGAAGGATGGAGTGCAACATCATTTGCAAAGTGTGGTACTCGCCTTAGCTTCGAACACATCACATGCGCCTTAAAAGCGTTCAGCAGTTACGCGGATTGAGTGCGGCTCCTTTTCCAGATGGAACGTTCGCCTGGCACGCACCTAATCCCAATAATCAGATAGCTTGAACTGTGCATCAACTACAAAGATGGAGGGCGGCTCCTTGTCAGATCGTGGCCATCGGATGATATCTTCTCGGGCCCTACGGGCACGAGCAGGCGTGAAGAACTGAAGGGCATGTGCACGGGATGGCCGGCGGCTCGCTTTTGTCAGCGGAGCTCTCGCTGGATGCTTCCTCGAAGTGTACGGCTCCTAGCTCGTCACCGACCTCATGACCAGAAGCAGGGGCGGCAACGCCGCTGCAGCGCGCGGCCCTCGCCTGGACCGCGGGACCGCAGGGGGCGCTCGTCTTTCAAGGGGGCACTTCCTTCGGGGAGGCGTGAGACTCGGGTAATGCGGGATGACGATTGATAAAAAATCAGAGAGAACGATTAAAAGAATAGTTTTCTGCTATTTCTGCACAATTTTCTGCCTGCAGGAGAACGATTTAAAAAGTAGTGTTCCAGCCCGCGGCCGTTTTTTTCTAATCGTCATCCCGGGCGCCGCCGCGTGAACACGACCCCCGGTCATTTATTAATCGTCATCCTCCATTACGGGGGACTCGGGTTGGCCTGACGGGGACCATCATAAAAATGACGAGACCCAATCTGGAATTTGACGCGGGCTCCCGCTGCAGACATCCCACGAGAACGGGACCGTCGAAATCCAGGACGCGCTCGTCAGAAAAAAGTCGGCAAACCCGAGTTCCGGCTTACCCGAGTCTTACGTTTCCCCGATTGCTGCAGTGAGCAAAAAAATTACATGGGCTTAGGAGGAGGGGGCTTGGGACGGCTGGGCGTACTACATCACCTTTGATGGATCCTGGGCAACGGCAACAATCTCAACGGGAGACCTGCGTTCCAATGGGGCCGACGCTTTATAAAGTGCATGCGGATGTATTAGCAAACCGCACGTGCGCAAGGATTGAGAAATGAAAGGAGGGAAACAGAGATAACACAAGGATCTAAGGTTTACTCTGGTCATCTTTCTCCTCCTCCTCCTCCTCCTCCTCATCCTCCTCCTCCTCCTCCTCCTCCTCCTCCTCCTCCTCATCCTCTAAAGGCCTGCCGCCGCATCGCCGATGCATCGGCGACGTCGGCGATGCATCGGCGACGTCGGCGATACATCGGCGGCAACGTCCGCCTAAAGAAGATCGGTCTTCACATCGAGCCGAATCGCCGATGTATCGGCGATGCGGCGCGAGCCTCCGACCCCACCTGCTCTGGCACCGCCTTGGAGGCCTCAACCCTCTGACGGCGGCGACGACGACGTCGGGGAGCCTGGCACCAGCGATGGCGCCGGCGCTGTCCGACGTGCCCTCGGCCAGGCCTGGCGCGCTTCCGCGCAGCTCGGCCGCCGAGATACCGCCGCTGCGGTCCTCGGGGAGGGGGGGGAGGGAGGGAGGAGTAGGGAGGAGGAGGAGGGAGGAGGAGGAGCGAGGAGGGAGAGGCAGGAGGGAGAGGGACCCGCGACCTTCGGAGGAGGGGGGGAAGGAGGAGGAGGAGGAGGAGGAGGCAGGAGGGAGGGAGGGAGGAGGAGGGAGGAGGGAGGGAGGGGAGGAGGAGGAGGAGAGGAGGAGGAGGAGGAGGGAGGAGGGAGGAGGGAGGAGGGAGGGAGGAGGAGGAGGAGGAGGGAGGAGGGGGGGGAGGGGGGAGGGGGGAGGGAGGGAGGAGGGAGGGGGGAGGAGGGAGGACCCGCGACCCTCGGCCACATCGGCGGCCCTTCGGCGGCACTCCAGTGAGCCCTTCGCGGCCCCTCGGCGGCCCCTCGGTGGGCCCGTCGCGCGCCCCTCGGGCGGCACTTCGGCGGCACTTCGGCGGCCTCCGCTGGCGCGGGGCACTCCAGGTGGGCAGGCTTGCGCACGCTGCTTCGCTCGAGGCAAGTCCCTGGCCACTGCAGGTAGACAGGAAGAGGAAGAACATGAGGAAGGAAACAATGGGAACGCGAAAGAGACAGGGAGAGAAAGAGACAGGGAGAGAGAAAGAGAGAGAGAGAGACACAAAAAAAGAGAGAGAGAGAGAGGGGAAAAAGAGAAAAATAATGAGAGAGAGAGAGAGAGCAGAAACAAAAAAAAAAAAAAAAAAAAAAAAAAAAAAAAAAAAAAAAAAAAAAAAAACTCGCCTGGCGGAAAAAAAACATATGCAGCTGTGAATACCGCCATAGCGCATATAATCTTCGCCCGCGCTCCCCACGGGGCCACGAACCGCGCGGGGGGCGCGCCGAAGTGCGCGGCGGGGCACACCACGCGAACACAGACGATCGGTCTGAGTGCGAGAGACTCAGAACGGGCGAGCCTGAGCGCGAGTGCGTCCGAGTGTGAACGAGTCTGCGCGCTCGTCATTCTACATGCGTGAATGTCGACGACCGTGTCGGCACGCCCCTCACGAGGATCGCGCCCGCTTCCTCCCCGTTATTTGTTCTCCCTCTTTGCCCGCGCGCGCCGATGTCCACGGCTGCGGGCGCGGCGCCGCGCGGAGTCACCGCGACGCAAGCCGGTCGCCCCGAAAGGGCCCCGGCGACGCGCGCGGGTCGTCCGCTCCGCGGAAGCAGGCTAGCTGATAGCGAGCAAGGCCGCGGCCTCAGGGCATAGCGACGACGGGGGCGAGCGAGGCTCTGGGCAGAGCGCAGCGCGGAATTCCCGCGACGCGCGCTGGTCGCCCCGAGAGGGCCCCAGCGATGCGCACGGGCCGCCCGCGGCACGAAGCCGAACAGTCAGACCGTCGAGAGAAGGCGGGGCTCGGACGGGCCGCTCCTCAGGTCAAGCCTCGCGGATGAACGCGGTGAACCCCAGCTCCCTGGCGAGGGCCGTCGCCCCCCTTCCGCGCCGCTTTGTACGCGCAGCAAACTGCTCCAGCTGCTTCCGCGAGCCCTCCGGCGGCCCTGCCAGGAAGAACTCGACGCGCGGCGCCCGCATGGGCAGAAGGTCCTCGCGGCGCGTGGCGCGCGAGAGCAACGCGACGAGCTCCAGCCACCAGTCGCCGTCCTCCTTCTTGCCGTCCCCCACCTCGCGGCGGCCGCAGTCCAGGACCACGCCTGGGCGACGTCGGCCGAGGGGGCAGCGCGCTGGACAGCCGACGGCCCAGGGCGCGAGTCCACGGGACCGAGAGAAGGTCTGGCTGCGGACTGCTCCCGCCCAGCAGGTCTGGCCGCAAACTGCCCCAGAGCGCTGTTCCCCCGCCCCGTCGCCTTCCCGCGCGGCGCGCCCCTGGCTCGCCACCGCGGCAATGACCCTGCCGTGCGAAAACGGGAAGCCCGCCCGGGTGACCTTGGAGGCGCGGAAGGTGAACGGCTCCGACGTGCGGGGCTCGAAGAACACCAGCGGGCCCGTGAGGTCTACTCCCGCGAGGCTGTTGTCGTGGCGCTTCAGGGCCCCCCTCCCGCCGCCTGGCAGGAAGCCTTTTCAGGGCCCCTCTCCGGCAACGCACAGGCGGGAGAGGGGGCCTTTTCAGGGCCCCTCTCCCACCGCCGGACAGGGAGCCTTTTTCGGGGCCCCTCTCCGGCAACGCACAGGCGGGAGAGGGGGCCTTTTCAGGGTCCCCCTCCCACCGCCGGACAGGGAGCCTTTTCCGGGCCCCTCTCCGGCAACGTACAGGCGGTAGAGGGAGCCTTTTCAGGGTCCCTCTCCCGCCGCCGGACAGGGGGCCTTTTCAGGGTCCCTCTCCAGCAACGCACAGGCGGGAGAGGGAGCTTTTTCAGGGTCCCTCTCCCGCCACCGGACAGGAAGCCTATTCAGGGTCCCTCTCCGGCCATACAGAACTGCACACACGGGCACTATTGAACATCATGTAGAGCCCAGTGGCGCTTTGCAACGAGGTAGAGAAGGCCGTTCACAACGCCGTTTCACAAGTTCTGCCAACTGGACTTCGCACCGCGTCGTTGGGAGCCAGGCTCCAGACCCGCGCAGGCCAGGAGGCAGCTCCGTTGAAAAAAACATTAGAGCACGTGAAATTGCGTGAATTACATTACAGAGAGCCTCTGGTGGGTCTCTCGCACCGGCAGAACGTTCGCAGACTGCTTCAAGAGGCCCACGGGGGGCGAAAGTCTCCGCTGGGGCCTTCGGTGGAGCTCGATGTGGGGCCAGGGGCCACCAAACGTGTGAGAAATGAGGGGTGCGCCGAAATGGATGGTGGGGAGGCATGCGGACGCAGCCACAGGCGCCTTCGGTGGTGCTCCATATGGGGCCACGAAACGAGTGAGGGGTGTGCCGAAATGGGCATGCGGGGGCGGCATGCGGGCGCGGCCACTGGGGCCTTCGGTGGAGCTCCCTATGGGGCCACGAAGCGTGGGGGGTGTGTGTGTGCCTAAATGGGCATGCGGTGGGCGGGGTGGACGCATGCGAACTGTGCCACTAGGGCCTTCGGTGGCGATCCCTACGGGGCCGCGAACCGTGTGAGGGGTGTGCCGAAATGGGCATGCGGTGGGCGGGGAGGACGCATGCGATTGTGCCACTGGGGCCGTCGGTGGAGCTCCCTATGGGGCCACGAACCGTGTGAGGGGTGCGCCGAAATGGGCCTGCGGTGGGCGGGGGCATGCGAACTGTGCCATGCCACTGGGGCCTTCGGTGGAGCTCCCAACGGGGCCACGAACCGTGTGAGGGGTGTGCCGCAATGGGCATGCGGTGGGCGGGGAGGACGCATGCGAACTGTGCCACTGGGGCCTTCGGTGGAGCTCCCTATGGGGCCACGAACCGTGTGAGGGGTGCGCCGAAATGGGCCTGCGGTGGGCGGGGAGGACGCATGCGATTGTGCCACTGGGGCCGTCAGTGGAGCTCCCTATGGGGCCACGAACGGTGTGAGGGGCGTGCCGAAGTAGGCCTGCGGTGGACGGGGAGGACGCATGCGGACACCCCCACTGGGGCCACGAACCGTGTGAGAGGTCTGCCAAAATGGGCATGCGGTTGGCGGGGAGGACGCATGCGAACTGTGCCACTGGGGCTTTCGGTGGAGCTCCCTATGGGGCCACGAACCGTGTGAGCGGCGTGCCGAATTGGGCCTGCGGTGGAGGGGGAGGACGCATGCGGATGTGGATGAGGATGATGCTGCAGATGATGATGCTGATGGAAGATGGGTGATGGTGATGATGGTGAGGATGGTGTGGGGAAGGGGAGGGGATGATGTTGATGATGATGATGATGATGATGATGATGATGATGATGATGATGCTGATGCTGATGATGATGATGATGATGATGATGATGATGATGATGATGATGATGATGATGATGATGATGATGGTGATGGGAGGAGAGGAGGGGGAGGAGGAGAGGAGGTGGGACGCGGGGCGCTGTCTCGTCAAAACGGGGACCCAACACCACAGGATGGTTGGGAAAAGCAGAGAGAGAAAGAGAGAGAGAGAGAGAGATAGAGAGAGAGAGAGAAAGGAGCCCCCCCCCGATGAAAAAAACTGCGAGGGCTTCAGCTCCTGTGCCTGTCTCTCCTCCCCCTCCTCCTACACGCATTCGTCGACGTCGGGATCCTTCTCTTCGCCATCCTCCCCCTCGCACGCCTTCCTCAACGTCATCTCTCTCCCCTCCTCATTACTATCACACCACAACCACCATCACCACCATCTTCATCAGCATCATCATCACCACACCACCATGTCAGTACCCTCCTCCTCCTCCTCATCATCATCACCATCAACAGCATAATCAGAATCATCGTCATCATTATCAGCATCAGCATCATCATCCTCATCATCATCATCATCATTATCATCCTCATCATCATCATCATCAACAACAATAACATCATCAGCATCGTCGTCATCATCATCAGCATCATCATCATCATCTTCATCTTCATCATCGTCCTCATCATCCTCATTACCATCAGCATCATCATGATCGTCGTTATCAGCATCGTCCTCGTCGTCCTCACCGTCCTCATCATCATCAGCATAATCAGCATCATCAGCAGCATCATCATCACCATTATCATCATCACCACCATCACCATCACCATCGCCTTCACCTTCATCATCACCACCACCATCATCATTACCATCGTTATCGTCATCATAATCGTCAGCATCACTACCACCAACAACACCAGCAGCATCATTACCACACTCATTATGAGAATCATCATGATCGTCAGCATCATCATCATCACCATCATCATCATCAACAACATCATCCTCATCACCATAAGCAATCCCATCATTATCATCAGCATCGTCACCACCACCACCATCATCATCATCATCACCACCACCAGCACGATCATCATAAACAGTAACGAACACCCATGGTCACTATCAGCAGCAGCATCATCATCAGCGTCATCATCATCAGCTTCATCAGCAGCATCATCAGCATCATCATCACCACCATCAGCATCATCATCATCATCGTCATCATCATCGTCGTCGACACCGTCGTCGTCGGCACCATCATCATCACCATCAGCATCACCATCACTACCACCACCACCACAACCACCATCATCATCACCATCAACAGCATCACCATCATCATCATCACCATCACCATCACCATCACCATCACCATCATCATCATCATCATCATCATCATCATCATCATCATCATCATCATCATCATCATCATCGTCGTCATCGTCAACGTCATCGTCATCATCATGTGTCAGCCTTCCACGCGTTCGTCCTCCTCATCCTCGTCCTCGTCCTCCTCCTGCCCCTCCTCCTCCTCCTCTTCTTCCTTCTCCGCCTCCTCTGCGTCTTCCTCCTCCTCCTCCTCCGCTCCTCGTCCAGGATCTCCCACAGCCTGGTGACCTCGGCGCCGAGGGAAGCCCGGGCCCCCCGAGGCGGAGCGCCCGATGTCCTCCGAGAGCGGGCGGCCACCCGAGGGGCCCACCTCGGCCGATGGCCCCCCAGAGCCATCTGACGGCGGCTGGTCTGGAGACCTCTTCCTCCTCAGAGGCTCCTTCTCCTCCTCCTCCTCCTCCTCCTCCTCCTCCTCCTCCTCTTCCTCCTCCTCCTCCTCCTTTCCCTCCTCCTCCTCCTCCTCTTCCTCCTCCCCTCTACTCTTCCTCCTCCTCCACCTCCTCCTCCTCCTACTGCCTCCGAATGTCCTATCCTCTGCTGCTCCTCCTCCTCCTCCTCCTCCTCCTCCTCCTCCTCCTCCTTCTCGTCATCCTGCTCCTCACCCTCCTTCTCCACGTCATCCTCCTCATCTTCCCCTGCTCTTCCTCATCCCCCTCCCCATCACAATCATCCCCCGCTCCCTTCGGCGTCTCCTCGAGGCCGTCCCCCTCGATCGACGAAAGGGTAAAGGAATCAGGGAGAGGAAGAAGGACGACGAGGAGGACGAGAATAGGAGAAGCAGAGCAGGCAGAAGTAGGAAAGGAATGATGAAAAGTGATAAGGGGGAGGGAGGGTGGAGGACTGGGCGGGGAAGGAGGAGGGGAATGTGAAGCCCACGCATCCTGAGAGCAGGTGGAGAACCTGGACCGATGTCCCGGCTTCGACACACGACGCTCCGGAACCCTCGGCCACAACAACGCTATGGATTTCCCACCGTGGGCTGATTTTTGTCCGGGGGGCCGGGGCCCAAAAAGATGGTGGACTAAACTCAAAAACATGTTTGACAGCGTGGCCTCCAACAATGGGTGTTCGCACTCTGGTAGTGGAAGCTATGTGGTGGAAGCTACATGGTCGAGGATGTGTGGTGTTGTGGAAAGTGTGGTGGAAGCCACGTGGTGCAAGCAGTGGTGAAAACAGTGGTGGAAGCCACGTGGTGGAAGCTATGTGGCAACGCTTCGCGTCTGAAGCAGTGCAGACAAACAGCTGGGCCCCACTAAAAATGGGACCCAGTTCTCCGTGTTCTGAACGCTTCGCGCCTCCCCGCCGAATGCGGGAGCGCACAACGCGGCAACGGGCGGCAGCAGGCCAGAACGTGGCGAGCCCTCGACGCACACACCCAGGCGGCACAGTGGGGCGGCGACGGCCCGCAGCGTGGCGAGCCCTCGACGCACCCACGGAAGCGGCAGCGGGCGGCCACAAGCGGCAACGGGCGGGAACGTGGCGACTCCTCGACGCACCCACGCAAGCGGCAAGGAGCGGCAACGGACATCAACGGGCGGCCACACGCGGCAACGGGCGGCGCCGTGGCGAAGCCTCGACGCACCCACAGAAGCGGCGGTGGGCGGCGATGGGCGGCGACGGACAGGAACGTGGCGAATCCTCGGCGCACCCACCCATATTGTTCTGGAAGAGAAGTAAGAGTAGGTGCGAGCACTGTTCGGGGAACTGTTGTGCAAACAGGGTCCTGCCATGAGGAGCACCAAGCAACGAACAAGCATAAATTGTGCAATGGCGGAGACAAAGGTCCTGAAGAAAACGGGCTGTAGACCCCAGGGCTTCCCCTGGGAATCGCCGTTTGTCCCTCCTCGGGCCCTGAGAGCCCGAAGCGGGCGAATACCATCAGGACCCGTTTCCCTCAGGACCCTTCTTCCATTATGAAATGTGAGCGACGAGAAGAAAAAAAGTCGCACGGCAGAATGGAGCGATGGGGCCACCGCAAATGGGAGGGCGGTGGGAGGTGCAATAGTTCGCTTGCGCGAACCATTGCGCGAACTCTAGCGCGAACTAGTCCTGAGGTGCACGAACTGCAAGGGGCGTACGTTTTGCGTTTGAGAGTATATACGCGTGCCATCCACGCGCAACTATTGCGTCCAGACCGCAGGCCTCGGCACCCAAGCAATAAAACTACTGCGCCTGCTCCGGCCCCCATATCGGTGCTAGCCCTACTACTACTACTACTACTACTACTACTACTACTACTACTACTACTACTACTACTACTACTGCTACTACTACTACTGCTACTACTACTACTACTACTACTACTTACTACTACTACTACTACTACTACTACTACTACTACTACTACTACTACTACTACTACTACTACTACTACTACTACTACTACTACTACTACTACTACTACTACTACTACTACTACTACTACTACTACTACTACGACTACTACTACTTACTACTACTTACTACTACTTACTACTACTTACTACTACTTACTACTACTTACTACTACTTACTACTACTACTACTACTACTACTACTATACTACTATTACTATTACTACTACGACGACTACTACTACTACTACTACTACTACTACTACTACTACTACTACTA